TATATATATATATACATACACCCATACATACATATATATATCCATCCCAATATTGTATTTTCCTTGGTAATCTCCTGTGATTCTATTTTGGAAATCACTTTTGATTCTTCAAAAGAATATGAGGCTGTGATTTCTCATAGGGGGCTCACTAATAAGGCCATGTCCCTGGCCTTGTATCTATAATTTGTCTTTATTTTCTGATGTATCTTTTATATCACAGAGGGAAGTGTTTGGTTCATTTATTCATATATTTCACAGGCCATGGAATACAGAATATCAACCTCAGTCATAGCACTGAGAATGGCATCTTTAAACAGCCTTCCCGAGAAAGCGCTTGATGTCCCTTTTTATGTTTACCTTTCAAGAAATGGGCTACTTGAAATTTTAAATATGTTTAGGGAGTCATAACCATCTTTCTGCTTTTTTTGTGATCTTAGACATCTTCATTTGTTCTCCGGTGTAAAAGCTAATTAGTGCTCAAAAGAAGATGAAAACATCACTATAGAGACATCACTATAAAAACATTAGGGTTTTATTTCTTAATACCATAGTTGGGTCGTGAAGCCATCATATGGGAATCAAGAGATTTTGTTTTTGTGTAGTCTTTGCCTCTGGCAAATGCTATAACCTTAGTTACTGTGCTTTGATTTTTTTTAATTCTGGAAATTAGTGATCATGCCACTGTGGGAATGTAATCGGTACAAATGATGATTTTAATAAAAGGATTAGAAGCTTCGATAGTTAGGCATGGTGTAATTGGCATTTCTGCTTTCGATACTTTTAAAAAGACATTGAAGCTAACTCCTCAATTTATATATTTTAAACAACGTGGAAATGTCTAGAGCTCAGTACTTATGAAGTAGATTTAAGGGAAATCAGACACATTCTGAGGGTCTCAGAGCAACAACTATATTCTCTAATGTAACGACAGTTATCAGGTGTGTATGTGTGTACGTGTTACCACTATGTGTGTACATACTTGGTTTTTTACAAGTTGTATTTTGAAAATAGTTTCCCTTCCATATTTCAGGTGTAACCTCCCTCCAACCACAGGAAACATTAGCAAAGATGTTGGCAGTAAAACAAATCTTGTGACTATAAACCCCAGTATCATAACACTAAAGTAAGTGTCTCCTGGTTACATAACTGTTCGAGAACATTTTTTAATTGTTTAACATGTTTCTCAGTCTAAGTGTTAATCTCGTTGCTGAGGGTAACTTGTAACACAGCTGAAACAGCTTTTGAAGAAAAAAAAATAAAAGAATACATTTGAAAACTTTGCATCTGTCAAGGTTGTGGTTCATCAGCTTTTGAAGAAAAAAAAAGAATACATTTGAAAATTATGACATTCTGTCAAGGTTGTGGTTCATTAGAGGTTTGACTCAGTTGGGCTACTAATGTCATAACCTAGATTAATTAAATGAGAACTTTTAATAATACTGGTTAATTTTTGACATTTCCTTTCAGGGTTTTAACATTACTCTTTGAACTTCATAGCTCTTGCTACATAAAACTTAGTCTACTTAGAAATTTTGGACAGTTTGGCAAAATACTATTTTAACTTCACAGTGTTGACTGGTTCACAAAAATTGCAAACATAGTTTTGCTCCTTTGTTCTCGTTAAAAGTGACTGATGATTGTTATTAATAGACTGTGCCCTTCCAAAGACTTCTAAAAGTCTTGAGCAAAAACTAAACATTGTACCTGACTTCTGAAAGCTGACTTTCTAACAGCGATACAATTATGATTATACATATGGTGAAAGTACAGTGCATGGAGGAAATTTGTTTAATGTGATAGATATTTCTATCTGTATTTGCATATGGAGACTTTAGGTTTTCAGAGGAAACTTTTCCTTTATAACTCAATGTGTGCACAAACCACAGGTATACAGCTCAGTGAATTTTTAAAAAGGTAGATAAATATGTGCTAAAGAATCCAGAGGAACTTGAGAAAATACCACAGGGTTGGAATGTAAAATAATACAAAAAATATCAGTCTCGTGGGATACAACAGAGCAAGAAAGTAGAAATTGAAAGCCTAGGTATTTCAAGAGATGAAGTCCTTGATATATACATGATGCTTGAATGATTTTTCTGAGTCTATGCCTTATCTCTTACACATAGAATATAAATACATGATTCCGGTTTTTGACCAGCAGTAAATTCAGCCTCACGGTACCAAAACTGTTCCATTGATTCTTATTACTGTAGTTATTATGGGCTTTTTGTTTTTGTTTTTGTTTTCAAATTTCACAGATACAGAAACTTAAAGGAGAAGAAAGCATTATTTCTAGAGGACATTGCGACCTACGGAGATGCCTTCCTTCTTCTGCCTGCCTTTTCCTTCCGAGCCAACACTGGCGCCTCTTTTAAAGTGTACTACACACTCAAAGAATCGAAAGCAAGGCAAAAAGTTCTCTTTTTCCATCCCAAGTACCTGAAGCATCTTGCCCTCTTCTGGAAAACGAAAGGGGTGACCGCCTACCGCTTGTCCACCGGCTTGATGATCACAAGCATTGCGGTGGAGCTGTGTGAAAACGTGAAGCTCTATGGCTTTTGGCCCTTCTCCCAAACCGTAGATCACACACCCGTCAGCCATCACTACTATGACAACAGGTTACCTAAACGTGGTTTCCACCAGATGCCCAAAGAATATAGCCAGATCCTCCAACTTCATGTGAAAGGAATCCTCAAGCTACAATTTAGCAAATGTGAAGTAGCATAAACAAAGTTTCTTACAAGTTAGCATAATTTTCATATAATGCAATAGGTGAGCAATGTTTTCAAACACTAAGAAGAGGTGGTTAATGGGTATTACACGAAGAGCTCCAAAACTTGATTTGACCAAAGCTGTCTTTGACTAACTTTATAGCCTCCACGTGTCAAATCAGTTGTTCCAGCCTTCAGTTTCCTTTTCTTTGTAAAAGAAGGATCATGATACTGACTCACAGAAGTAAAAAAAGAATAATTTATGAAAACTCCTGGCATAGCGTTTGGTGTGATTTAGGGCGTCAATAAATATTTCCTTGTTAATATTAAAAACAGCCATTTCCAGAAGATAGAAGGCATGTTATCTTGGAGAGCCTTTCTTAAGAGAAGAGCTGAATTGCCGTATTTATTGCATCTCCTCTCATAAGCTTTGCTTTATTAATATCCTTCCCATTTTTCTTTTGTACAAGAAAATTGCATAGTTAAACAAGAAATCTTTTATTATTCAGGAATGAAAGTCCTCTTCGTACGGCAGTGTCCCTGCTTCTGATTAAATTCGCTGTAATATTAGCTTCACTGATGTGTTGGATAGATTTGGGCCATTTCTCTTCCTCTGTTATCTACATCTGAAATCACTCTCTGATTTTATATTTTCTTCCTGTCTCATTCTTTGGCCTTTTTTCTCCACTGACAGAATCTACTTCAAGGACATGAAGTTCCAATACCCCTGCTTTTTCACTTTCTGTGTAGTCTGCAGAGTCACTTGTTCAATGTAATTTAAAAAAAAAATTGAACAGCTGCTTTGTTCAAAGCCCTGTACCAGGCTCTGTGAGAGGGCCAGAAAGTCTCCCTTTAGCGAGAAGAAACACATATGCATGTCATTCATGATATGGGATGGCAAGTGTTATAACAATTGTGAAAAAAAGTGCTAGAGAGATCACAGACAGGGATAACTAAATCTCTTTCAGTGCACTCTATTTCAATGTATCTGTTTCAGAAGAGAGGTCATTTTAGAATTAAAACCAGAAAATGAGTTGTTTTTTTGTTTTTGTTTTTGTTTTTTTTTTAATGAAGGTAATTCTAGGGAGAGGGAATATGATAGGAGAAAAAGCTGTTCCCTTGATTCTGATCCATCAAAATGTGAATATTTGAACATAGACTTGGTTTTTACCCCAAAATTGTCACGTGAGAATGGGAACAGTGCATGGGGAGGGTGGCGTGGACTCACATCTCTACAATAGAGACAATTCAGACATGACTGATTTAATAGAAGGGTTTAAGGGGAAAAACACTGAGAAACTTAATTCCCCCCAGGAAAGATACAGGCTTACGTGAAAAATAAGACTAATAGCTTAGGCACTGGTATAAATTAAAACCTGAGTAGATATGAAATATTAGCATTTGTATGCCACTCCTTTAGGTTCTGACGACACCCACTCATATGTTATCCTTGCATCTGCTGAACAAATTATCTGACTTACATGTATAGCCATGTATGTCCTTTTCTGCTCTCATCATTGAACCTTTGTACAGACTGGAAATCAGAATGTAGCAGGTCAGCGTGTCAGAATCATTTATAATTTTTAAATTATTTATCTGAGCCAGAGTATTGTTTTACTAAACACCCACTTTTAAGAACACTGTGCTATAAATTGTTCATTTTATAAAAATGCATCTCTACTTTGCACTTGACATATGTGAGATGATTTGGGTTCATATTTTCATAGCATAATAAACTTACTAGCTTTATAAATTGGTTAAAGTTCCTCTATGAATATTTTCCAAAAGGAACATGCTTTTTGTTATATAAAGTCTAATTTATTTATTACCTTTCTTTTTTGGTGAATGGATGGCTTTTTTCTCTTGCTTCTAATGGATTTAATTAGTTTTGAGTAATATGTTGGCGGCATTGGTAATGTTTGGATTCTTAAAAGTAGATGAGAACACCTGAGTATTTTAGTTAGTAAAATGATTTTTTTCAAAATGCCCATGGCAGGTGAAGCAAATGATTTCTTTTTGATACTGGAAATGTATGAAAGGGCTAGGGATTTAGCTCAGTGGTTCCAGCACCAAGTTCGATCCCTGGTACCAAAAAAAAAAAAAAAAAAAAAAAAAAAAAAAAAAAAAGAAAAGAAAGAAAGAAAATGGAAATATATGATTAAAGACTAAAAGTAATCAAATGTACTGAAGAATATCATCAAATGTAGAAGGCAGAGACTCCTCGTGTTATTTTAATAAACATTGCATGTGGTTAAGACATTTAAAGGTTGCTTATGCTATTCCCATATAAGTTAACTTAGGAAGTTTTCTCTAGAATACCAAAACAATCTCCAGAAATATTCAAAATAATATGAGGTCAAGAGATATAATGATACCCAAGTTCACATAAAACTTCAATAGAAAAAAAAATGTTTGTAGAGTTTTTTTGTGGAGAAAATTACATGAACACATCTGGAGTTTATTTCTCATTTAACATCATATTACCATCTTAAAGGCATGTTTAAAATTTCACCACTCATTTATACTAGCCAAAACTCACTGGTCAAAAACAAACACAAAAATACCTAGATATTTCTTAAGCATGTCACAGTCAGATTTAGTGACAATTAATCTACAAATCAAAAAGGATTTATAGTGTTTGTTTGTTTGTTTGTTTGATTTGATCTTGGTAAAAGCTTGCAGAAATTCACCATTGCCTAACAAAAAGCCCTATGCAGATACACTCTATTGTCTAAATTCAGGTTCCATCATATTTTGAATAATGTGCATTCTTCATGTCTCTTCCCAATGGTGCAAGGTCGAGAGTATCTGCTGTTATTTGAGACTCTCCTGTGCTCTTGCTAGTAGAGTCAGTGTGTTGTAGAGATCTGAAGGGAGTAGGCAGCCTAATTCACATCATCTTTCCTTCCTGGGACAGCAGGACCTTCCACACATTCCATCGCATGGGCCAATAATGTCCTTTTGTTCCAAAGTATAACATGACTTGGAACTTTCCAAAATGTGATGCATCGTGAATTTTAACACTTCGGCTTATCAGCTATGTAAACTGCAAAGCTTAAGTCTCACTTCCTTTTGCTGTGTAATGGCAAATGAATGCAAGTTTTCCAACAAGATCAACACACACACACACATACACAAACTATGAGCTCCTTTTTGTAGCTCGGAGATTATGCACCAGGAATTCTGACTGTAACTCTCTCAAGAATGTATAAAGGAAGCATTGTTTAAATGTCACTAGATAGATTAGATTTGATCTTTTGCTCTTAAAATTCAAATACATCATTGGGCACTGAAGGAGGGTCATTGTGGGTATTGCTACTAGACAATAGTAGACCATTAGTTAGGATTCTAGCTCGTAACATCACACAGTACCCGTTCCAGAGGGAAATACAGGCTCACTTGCTTCTGTTTTCTACTTGGTGTTTGGCATCATTGCACATTGCGAATGAATAACAAATTTCCAAAATAGTTTCCAACCAGATCCATGGGCAAACAAGAAGTCTCATTTAAGTACATAAAACAGCGTAATTCATAGTGCTGTATAGCCCCTGAAAAGGGTTGCACGAACAATTGCATGAAGTTAATTTTTGTTCAATTTAACAGTCCTTAAAAGCCCCTAGTTTTTCTCCCCTGAAGAAAGCACAATGACCAGGCTGGGGATTTAGCTCAGTGGTTCAGTGGCCTGCCTTGCAAGCGCAAGGACCCAAGTTCAATCCCCAGTACCAAAAAAAAAAAAAAAAAAAAAAAAAAAAAAAAAAAAAAAAAAAAAAAA